GGCATGATACTCTCCTCCTGTGGGTCTCCGGAACATGGCAGGTGTGCTGGGCTGCCAAGACTGGAGGAGCCAGTTAAATGTATAACCACGAAAGGAATCGAGGTAGATACCACAGATTATTTAAAAAAAAAAAAAAAGAAGAAGAAAACTATGCCCAGATCCTCACTAATTAGCCTAGAATGTCCTTCGAGGAGAGTAAAAATAACTCCCTCTTCATAGATGACCAAACAGCCAGACGCTCTTGTTGCTCGCACTCCATCATGATGCCCACGCTGGCAGCAAGGACAGAAAGTCAAACAGGAAGCAGGTAGGGTGTTTATAAAAGGAGTACTCACGTAAGCGCATTTAGGTACAATGCTGGAAAATATTTTCCTTCCGCCCCCCTCCCCACCGTTCATGCACTTCCTGGAACGTTAAGCCTTCTCCAGGACCCATCCCTTAACAAGAGTCACAGACAGAACATTACTGCTTCTGCAGCTGCTACTCTGGCTGTAGTTACTCCAATATGAAAGCCAGATTCCTCAGGAGACCTTGCTCACTGAGTAAATGCTGAGCCAAGCTGAAAAGCCTCTGCACATACCTTCCCGTTCTTCTCGGCCTTCGTTTGTTTTATAATAATTGCCCAACTTTTAAAAGGGACTTTATGAAATGACATCGAGTCTCGTCTTGATGGTAACTGGAGGTGTCAATCAACCAAGCAGATTCTAAACAAATGTAACATTTTCTATGTTGGGACGAAAAGTTACTGGCTTCACTACGAGGAACTGTAACTCTGTTGTGTTTCTGTAGGTGCAAAATTTTCATTATAACCTGGTACATTTTTAAATTCCTTTCTAGTGATCATTCTCCTCTAAGAATGAATCCAGTAAGTTATGTATCTGGAAAGATGTATGGAACCTCTGAGGTCCCCAGGGGCTACAGGCATAACTCATTGTAGTGCATTTCACTTTACGGTGCATCACAAATAATGTGTCTTTTTTACAAATTGAAGGTCTGTGGCCACCGTGAGTCAAACGAGTCTATCAAGCACCATTTTTCCAACAGCATTTGTTCACGTCGTGTCTCGGGGTCACATTTTGGTAATTCCTACAGTATTTCAGACTTTTTCATTACTGCTGTGATTGTTTCAGCGATCTATGATCAGTGATCTTTGATGTTACTATTGGGATGGTTTAGCGCACCAGGAACTCTGCCCATATGAGACAGGGAACATAATCGATAAATGTTGCATGTGTTCTAACTGCTCCATCAACCAGCTGTTCCTCTGTCTCTCTCCCTCTCCTTGCCCCCCTCCATGCCCTGAGACACAGCAATATTGGAATTAGGACAATCAATACCTCTACAGTGGCCAATAGGAGTTCAAGTGAAAGGAAGAATGAGTTGATATGGCAAACTTCGTTGTTGTCCTATTTTAAGAAATTGCCACTGCCTCCCCACCTTTAAGTAACCACCCTCTAATCCATCAGCAGCCTCGGCACTAAGGTAGAGACCCTCCACCAGCAAAAACATTATGGCTTGTTGCAAAGTCAGATGATAGCATTTTCTAACAATGAAGTATTTTTTTAATTAATGTATAATGCTATTGTACCCTTAGTAGACTACAGTATAGTGTAAAAATAATATTTATATGCACTGGGCAACCAAAACAAGTCATTTGACTTGTTTTATATGATATTTGCTATATTGTGGGGGTTTAGAACCAAACCTGCCATGTCTGAGATACACTTGTACTGTTTAGGAACGTACACAATCCCGAAGTAAGTTGTGAAACAAATCCTACACAACCATTTAGTCCACTTAATACCAAGTAATTGACCTACCTAATCACTTATATGCTCTTCTTCAGTAAACCCAGTTTTTTATCCAACAAAAATAACTGATTCACTCTGTAAACTCATGGCCAGAGACTGTTGGAAAACTATCTCTGGAAGTAATTCAAGGCTATCTGGCCCCACTGTCTTATTTTAAGGATAATAAAACCATAGGCCTGGTTGGTGAATGAGCTTACCAGCAATGTCATGACCAATACATTGTACGTCAGGAACTAGGATTAGAACCCATTCTCTGCCCTGTGTGGTTAGCACAACGCAGGCCATGTTCTTGTGTTTTGTATACCTGGAAAAGAAAGTAAGGCTCTTTGGGATTCCTTTTCTAGCACAGATCTAGCATCACTAAAAAATCTGTTCTGACTTAGGGTTACAGCCTTCCATCACTCAGGCTCCAAAACATTTGTTTAGAACACTTCCCATCTCTTTTATGATTTGACCTGTATTTTGTTTAATGAAGTTGGACTCCTGAGTCCCAACTTATAACGCAGAAGCACTCGACCCCGTGTGCTGGAATCCAGCCGTGTGGGGAGGGTCTACACCATGTCACACGGCCAGCACCGCATTGAGCTGTACCCTGAGCAGGAGGGACTTCAGCAGCGAAGACAACTCCTACCGTTGCTATGAGGAATTTCTTTGTGCCCCGGTCCTATTTTTGCCCTTTCTCCATGTTCAAGTCTCTGATGTTTTATAGGACACCTGGAAATACGTGTCTGGATGCCTTGGTCTGATTACGCAAAGTCGTGATTCAGGCCATGCTCCTGCTTTCTGCATTGTTGGTGTTCATCTGCTCCCTGACTCAGGGGTCACCTGTTAGCAGATGACTTTTTGATGCCTTGGTGTCTTCAATGACAAAGCAGAATTGGTAAAGCATGAGTCCCTTCTCTTGATGAAAAGTTTTTTCTTTTATCAATATTTACTTCCATTTTTAAAAATGTAAATTCAATTAGCCAACATAGTTTCAGATATAGTGTTCAGCCTGATTCGTCAGTAGCATATAATACCCAGTGCCCCTTGATCTAAATTTTTTTAAAATGTCTCTTTTAAGAAGCACCTTTAAAATTATTCTACTTGTGGGGGCACCTGGGTGGCTCAGTTGGTGAAGCGTCTGCCTTCAGCTCAGGTCATGATCCCAGGGTCCTGGGATCAAGTCCAGCATCGAGCTCCCTGCTCAGTAGGGAGTCTGCTTCTCCCTCTCCTTCTACCCCTCCCCCTGCTTATGCTCTTTCTCTCTCTCTCTCTCTAATGTATAAATTAAAAATCTTTTAAAAAATTATTCTACGTAGACCCTTATTAATCCTCTTCACCAAAGGCATTAAATTAAAGGCACTGAAGAGATCATCCTAACACTTAAAATATGAAAACAAGGTTAACAAATGAATTTGATCCATCACAATTTGCTGTTCCAATCGGGCAAAAGTACATTCTAAAATCTTTATATTTTATGAAATAATATCCTTCTGAAATGTTTAAAAGTAAAAAAAAAAAGAAGAAGAAGAAGAAGAAGAAGAAGTTTTTGTATTGTCTCTCCTGCTCACTCTTCCTGGGTCATCACTCCTGGCTGCCGTATCAGAAACAGGGCAGAAGGCCCTAAACGTAATACCAACCAACAGTAAAAAAGATGAGAGTATTGGTCACCATCAATGGAACCAATCTGCCTCATTTTTCTAAGATCTGGGCCATATATTTTTTTTTTTTTGGATTTGACAACATTTTCTAACCAGAATGCCTTTTTGGCCATGAGCACCCATTACAAGATAATTTAATGGATTCACCTTGTGCCCGTGGGACAGGACAAGGCTAACTCTCTGGGGCTTCAGCTTTGATTTTACCTCCTGAATTCTATCCAGCCAGACTCAGGGTCCACACAGGGGCACTTGCTGGCAGCTTGGGATAACTTCTCCCTTGTAGATAAACATCACTACATGGTTTCTGGATAAGGATTTGGAAACTGTTTCTGTCTTCTGTTAACCTGGATGACATACAGGACAAGTCCTGAGAGAATTTGGTTCAATGGGAAAATGCTCTTCTACGTTGCTCCTTGTTTTGTCATCTGGAGACCATGTCCACACAGGGAAAACCATCTGGAGGATAACTGGAAAATCTAAAAAAAAAAAAAAAGTATTTCACATTCCCAGCTACATATCATATGTATCTGCTTATGTGAGGATAAGAAAAGCAAACACCAGCAAATTACTAAAAATTTCCTTACTCACCAAAATTGCTATCCCTCAGCAATTCCTTTTTTTTTTTTTAAATATGGATTAATAACCAAATGCTTCTCTCTAAGGGTACTAATTAGGTGAAATCAAGTAGAAATTTCCATCTTAAGAAGACCGAGTCCCAAACAACCCACCCAGAACATAGTTCTATTTAACAATTCTCTGGCCTCTTGTGTATAGTAGACACTTCCTGCAACATGATGATGGTCTGTGTCTACCCTCTCCATTATGCTCTATCATCCCGCATGGACAGATGTGTCCACAAATAATGACTGAAATATTTAGGGTTAGAGTCAGTGAGGTGTAAAGTATTGCCTGAGCCATTTGTGATTAATAAACCATGACACGCACGTTGCTCAGCAGCCTTCAAACACAGATTCCGTACAACGTGACAATTAGCTAAAATGTGAGAGCAAGATCCACGAGATCTGAGAGCAAAATTGCAAACTGCTGAGGAGTAACACCCTGTATTTTCCACCAGGGAACGTGGGAAAGCATCTGAGAGGACAATCCAAGACAAATTCCATCTGTAGCAAGTGAGAGGACCTGCCTAATTCTTTAACATGTAAGTGTAAAGACTACTAGTTTCTAAGAGACTAAAGATTTCTTGTGAAGACAATGAAAATCTTGGCTTCTCTGTCGCCGTTTTTCACGTGCTTCATGCTTCCCTTTTTGCATAATTTAAGTGAGCTGTGCCATTATGTCTCCTTTCATTTATGGAGAACCAGTGTCCAGTCATCGAGTGTCTGGGGGTAATTTTGCATTGAGTCAAAAAGCAGCGCAGCTTATAAGAAAGGCCGGTCTTTAAAAATGTCTTTTCTCTTAAGAAAAGAGCACTGTTCAACTAGACTAACATGACTCAGCCCAGTTCTCACCTTTAATATGCCTTTTAATCCTGAAGCCAGAGCGCGGGGCTGACTGATACCTGGGGATGTTGTCATTGCAGCTGGGAAGGATGAGTTCTTGCAGCAACATCTGTGGGTCCAAGCAGGTACAGGCAGCTACTGAGGGCGGGTACCAGCGCTACGGAGTCCGGTCCTATCTGCATCAATTCTATGAGGACTGCACCACCTCAATCTGGGAGTATGAGGATGATTTCCAGATCCAGAGATCACCTAATAGGTGGAGCTCAGCATTCTGGAAGGTAAGGAAAGAACACGTGTGTAAGGCAAGAGATGGAAATGTTATCGGCTGTGGTGAATCCTGTAGCTGTGAAGAGCTGAGGGTTCTGGTCTTCTCTGTGTGTCTCCATCTTGATGATCCTAAGGGCAGTCTTCTTCCGTTAGGAAAGGAGAACATAAACCTTGAGCTGAAGAAAGCCCCCGAACGCAGGACAATGGTTGAGTTGCAGGTTGAACGTAAATAGGTATAAATGCCATCATTAATTATTATTTTTGATACGGATATTGACGGGCCGCTGAATTCACCAGCTGGGAAGCCACCCATAGGCAAAATCATATAAGCCTTCCCCCCATTAGGCTTGGTAAGCATCATTTGACATATTGCAACAATTATTAGAGAGAAATGATCAGGTATTGAGAGAGATTTGAGGCTGAGGCATAGTACGATGGTCAGCGGTGGTCAGCGTGCTGTCTCTGCCTCTACCAGCCATGATCAGGAGACTATTAGCTTGAGCTTCTCCACAGCACCTCATCAGACAGCGTACTCAGTCATTCAGTGTACAATTATGAGCCCCTACTCTGTGCCGAGACGTTGCAACACGCTAGACATTAAAGTGATGAGAAGGAAAAGCCCTTGCCCTCTTGGAACCTGTAACCGATCACAGGAAACAGACCATAAATGAATAAACCACATACTAGGAAGTCAGGTGGTGACAAGCGCCATGGAAAGAAACGCGTCTGGACAAGACGGTAGGGAGTAATGGAGCCAGGGTGTGGCAAAGGCTGTTCATAGACAGTCTTTCAGAGGAGACGCCATTGGAGCAAGTGCCAGGACGAGCTGAGGGGCAGGACTGTAAGACGACCTAGCTGAACGTCCTTCTGGGCTGGGAAGAAAGCTCTGAAATGGGAACCAATTTTGGGTGCTTGAAAAGTAGCAAGAGTTCCAGTCTGGCTGGAGTGGAAGGAGGGGGGAGGGGTAGGACAGGTGGTGGATCCAGAAAAATAATGGGACAGAGATGATTTGTGTAGCCCCTTGTAGGTGATCATGAGGACGCTGGCTTTTTCCTGGAGAGGTATGGGGAGCCATTTTGAGCAGACGAGTGACATGAACCGACTCATATTTTAACAGGATCATACTGACTACACCATGGAAAGTAGATTATAGGAGCACACGGGTCGAGGCAGCCAGATTATTTATGAGGCTCTGAAAGCACCCAGGCAAGAGGTGATGCTGGCTTGGATTACGGTGGTGTTGGTAGAGATGGTGAGAAGTAGTCTGATTTAGCATAAAGTGTGAAGATCACATTGTGAGAATGTGCTGACAAGGTAGACGTGAGAGAAAGCAGAGTCGGCACGCCTCCAAGGCCTGCAGTCTGAGATATTTACTGAATGATGTTACAGTTTTCTGGGATGGGAAACCCTGGGAGAGCAGTGGCAGGGCTGGGGAACCAAGAGTCCGAGTCTGGCTGTGCTATGCTGGAGATGTGAGTGGGGATCTCTAGCGGCGATTCACATAATGCTTGTGAGTGTGGACTCCGCCATCCTCAGATTACACGGCTTCAAACCTCAGCCCTTCCATTTCACAGCCTGTACCTTTGGGCAAGTTAACTGACTGTAGTGAGCCCAGTGGTGATGCTTATCATACCTACCAGGTAAAGTTGTGAGAATTAAGTAAGATGTTTCATATGTGTTCAAGGATTCAGTGTATCAGTCCCTACTATCAGAGGTCCAATGAAACATTGGATCCTGAAGTGGAAAGAAAATTTGAAATCTAGTTAATAAATAAAGTACTGGGCAGCACAGTCGTTAACAGGGATGAGCCAAGACCTGCATTAATTCGATATCTTACAAGTGTCAGGTACTCCGCATTAAAATTGGTTGACCCAGCATCCTTGCCCTGTAGAAATGTCATCTCTGATGAATCCTCACTGGCCTGGACCGATGAAATATGCAGCCAAGCTTGGCACATCTTGTATTTACCCAGTTAAGTGGGTGGCTGCTTCCCCATGTGTAAAAAAAATAAATATTTGCCTGACAGATCCGTCGTGCCAAGAGCCTGAAATGCCAGTATCGTACAGAATACTGAAAGCATTCACATGGTTCCAAGGCACAACCAAGATGAGATGTGAGAAGCTATAAATCCATCAAATGAGACTCAGGTATGGATTTCAAATAAAGAACCCACCGTTAATGACCAACCCCGGAATTCAGATTTCGGAATTCTGTCTTCCATCTGACACAAGCAAAAGTACTTGTTCCCCCATTATGCTGAACCTACTTCAGAGACTAAAAACAGGGAAAAGTCCATGGGCTCATAGAGATTATATTCCAGCAAAATCCAAATCCTAGACTCAGATCCTCATCACAAAACACAAGGCTAACATTCAGAAGCTTAGAGTCAACCTGAATCACGTAAGAACTCACTTAGAGACCCGTCCTCTACCGGGGGAGGACACTGACCGTTCTTCCATTTCCTTCTAGGAAGGACAAGAGAATCCATTCCAGTGGGTCTTATGAAATGTTTCCTATCAGTGTAGAGAAAGGCAATGGTTGTGCCCATGTTTCTAATCATGACTCTTTTTTCTGATTTTTCTTTCATTTCAAACTGCATCTGTAGGTGGTTCAAGCTACGGGCTTCCCCTTGCCCCCTTCCCAATAAAGTGGTGCTAAGGGATTGTTGGTCTCTCGCTGGAGGCTAGGACATTGCCTCTGAGCGGGCGTCAGAGCTGTGGGCGGCTTGGAGGGGCTTAATGAGGATGGAGATTGGACTCTGATGAGCTTGAGTTAGAATCTCTGCCTGCCACGTGCATCTGGAGAGCCTGTAGCTCACGGTGCTAGTCGTTCTTTCTCTCTACAAGGGATTCTGTGTCCACTGTGTGCAGGGTCACGTGGGAGGCTTGGTTGTGAACAAGATGTGGTTGTTCACCTGTGAATTAGATACAGCCTTGACCTGAAAGAGCTGGCGAAGAAGGCAGGCATGTCCGCAGACAGCTACAATCCAGCACGATAAACGCTACCCTCAAAGGAGTCCCAGAACTTACTGGGAGCGTAGGGATTGGGGGCAGGGAGGGTCTGAGGCAGCCTGGGGAAGCAGTGGCTCCACAGAGAGATCCCCTGGGAAGAGGAGATGTTGGAGGAGGCGGGGGCAAGAGATGAATGGGGGAAGGTACACAAGAGTGGGATCACAGAAGACTTTGAAAGGCTTTGAAATCGGTACTTTTCCGGAACCTTCTGGTTTGAGTCCAGCAAGTGGGCAAGAAAATAAATGTAGGCTTTCTCAGGGAGGTTGTCTCATAGGTGTAAACACACACACACAGGATTACACACACTCTCTGGACCCCACAGGTTCTACCCTCTGGCCGCCTCAGCCACGCCTCCTTTGTCCTAGTGCCTGTAACTCCTGGCGCACGCAAGGTCCCTGTGACATGATCCCACTGACCCCCTGCCTCCCGCTGCACTGCCCATGAATCAGGTTGGCTGGGGGGGAGGGACTTTTCTTCTTGGTCTTGCACTTGACCTTGACAAGAGCTGCTGACCCCCGTTTGTGCGACAAATCACCTCAGTTAGGCAGCTGTGAACTAAAGGAGCAACCCCCTTACCCCATCCATGCTCTCCTCACCTCAGAGTCACCCTCCTTCCTACCTTCTCCTCACCCATACTAGAAATCTCTCAAACGGTGTCCCCAGCCATGCGCAGGCATGAGATAAGACCGTCTCCTCCAAGCCTCTCTTAATGGGGAGTGACTTGGGCTCCCCTCTTTCCTCCCAAGACCCTCCTCCCCTCTGTCCTGATGTCTCCAGTTCCCCCGCTGAGCTAAGTCAGAGTTTAAGTGTCTGTCTTAGATTTTCTTCAAAGTGTAGCTAGAGATTGCTGAGTTGGTTTTATACTAGGAATGAGAGGAGCTCTGTGACTGGGTGGATGGCAGGAGCACAGAGAAAGTGGGAAGGAAGAGAGGGAAGGGAGGGAGGAAGAGAGGAAAGAAGGAGGAAAGGGACCATTTTGAATATTTGGGGTTTGAGGAGCCTTTGGGACATTTTTGTGCAGATCTTACCACTGGCTATCAGAAGTCCAGGGCGAGAGCCCAGGAAGGAAATCCAGGCTGGAGATGGGAGCTTGGAAGTCACTGGCACGTAGACGGGAGTTGGAACTACAGCTGCACATGCAACCCTAGAGAGATCTTGAACAAGAGATGTGAGTCAAGGGGGAACCCTGGGAAACACCAGTAATTTGAGAACATCTGGCAAAACAGGTTGAGAGTGCCTTGTTAAAGATGCAGATGTAGAAACAGGGAAGAGTCGTGTCGGGGACAAGAGTTTTTAAGAAGACAAAAGCACTTAACATCACTGGCTGCAGAACATTCGAATGAGGTCACACTGGATTGGACAATTAGGAGGGTTTTCATGACCTTGGAGAAACCAGTTTCAGTGACACTGTAGGACTCGGCTTGAATATCAAGGATTGGATGAGTTCAAGCCGTAGCTAAAGAGAGACACAGGGCTCCGGAATAGCTTTTGAAGATGGGGACGGTTGGCTGTCTTCCCATGCTGGAGGGACGGAGCCTCCATCAGGTGGGAGACCAAGGGCGGGGTGCCAGGTATCATGCCTGGGGGGCGCGTGGGCCTGGATCCCAGCTGGACATCAATGGTTGCTCCACAAAGCTCAGTGTCCCTACAAGCAGGTCAGGCCAGGTGAGTTCCATCTGCTGTCATTGCTGGCAAGGGACAGCCCTCAGAGCCCAGGTCCTGCTCAGGAGAGGTCAGAGTGGCCTTCAGGGCCGATGACGAAGACGCATCCCGCTTCCGTCCTGCTGCTCCTTCCCCTACATGTTACCTCAAAGCCCGACGGCTCCTTTCACCTTCAGCTCCCTCAGCTCCGCGCCTTCCGCGTCCTTCCCCCCACACTGGCTCTCACTCCCAGCGGTCATTACCACGCCCTCTGCCGGGACAGCCGCCCAGCTCCTGCCGGCAGCCCTCCTTTTTTGGAGCAAACGGAGGTATGTTCCGATCTCGTCGGCTCACGCAGAGGTGATGACGGGGATGCTGGTCTGAGTCACAGCCGGAGCCGGCTGGCAGCCTGCATCACCAGGGTTTCTGGAATCCGGGTTCTTCTCCCTGTCCTAGCCCCCTTTCCAGCAGCAGGTGCTGGATTCTCACACATCGTCCCCACAACAAGGATGCCATCAGAAGTCACTGTCCTCACTGCGGCCTGTAAGGTTTGTCCCAGCGGAGGCGCCCTTCACTCTCGGCATTGGGCCGGCCCAACCACCAGCCATCCCAGGGGCTCCACCAGGCCCCAGGGGCCCTCTCCCTGCGGGGTCCCAGCTCTCTGCATGGACCCACACCGGGCTGTCTGCGCTCTCAGACCCTTAAGGAGCCCTGTGTTGCATTTTTTCAAACTCTATTTAATAGAGCCCCCTTTCTCTTAGGCCAAGGACCACTTCAACTTAGACCGTTTTTACGGCTCTGTATGGCATCACTCCCCAAATCTTCATTCCTTTCCATTCTCCAAGATGGTACCGGGGTTAGGCTGATGCATCCCAGCATGCCGTCTGGCCTCTGTCCCGTGCTCCGTGGAGATGGCATCCTTCAGATCCCACGCGTGCCCCTCCACTCTCGCCCTCCCCTGCCCTCCCAGACATGTCACCGTGTTCCAGGTCCTCTCTGGGCACGGGGCTCGGAGCGCCTCTTTAAACTTGCATGGAGGGCTCCTTCTGGACCCTGGGAGTGGGCTCTCTGCCGCCGCCCTCCCCTCCAGAGACGGCAGGCACCCCTCGGATACCCCCGTTCAACAAGGGCAAAGGGAGAAGGCTCAGGGAGGCCAGCCCCTTTCCAGTTCTTGAAGTGAGCAGGAGTTCTGCCATCTGCAAGGCACCGTTTGCCTTTTAGCCTCCGAGGGAGGCTCCAAGAGTGGATTTTCATCTCTACATCGCGGCTCAGCGGAGGAGCAGGCTGCTCCCGGATTCGGTCACCTGGCTCCGCCAGCAGCGGTCTGGCAGTCCAGTTCGACGGTTAGAATGTTTACGGAGTGTAAGGCGGGAACGAGAAATGTGGAGAGCAGGGCAGGACTAGCAGACACGGGGCGCTGGCCTCTGTCACTCTTCAGAACCTCAGAAATGACGATGGCTACACTTACAGTCCTCAGCTTTTGAAAACGAGTGCCAGTCCTTGAGGAAGAAGGGGATTCAGTGACATAGGAAGCATGTCAGCGTGGATATTAATGTTCATTTAGCTCGCGCATTCAGAATTTTCCAGCGTGACTCATTTTTTTAAGTTACAAATAATGGTTAGGCTTTGGGGATGAATTTGCCACTATTTTCAGAAACATAGAGAAAGCCATCCAAAACGTGATTTTTTTTTTTTTTACAACCCAACTTTTCCTATGGTACTTGAGTCTCATGTAGAAAAGGTTCTGTTCTTTTCAGAAGACTTTATATTGACTGTTTTTTTCAGTTTCTGTATAATATTACATAATGGAAATTTGTCCCTCCATAGTGACTAAAACTCTGTGGTAATTTAAAAAAATAATAATAGCACACAAATAATTGGTGAAGTGCCATGGGAGGATAAAAGAGGAGCATGAGGCTTGGTGATCACCCCACCTGGGTTAGAGCCTGGTCGCGCCAGCTGCTGGCTACAGGACCCTGAACAATGCTTCTCCCACCCCACTGGCCTCCCGTCTCCTCCAGGTGAAATGTAGATAAAAACACCTCCTTGGGGCGCCTGAGTGGCTCAGTGGGTTAAGGCCTCTGCCTTCGGCTCAGGTCATGATCTCAGGGTCCTGGGATCGAGCCCCGCATCGGGATCTCTGCTCAGCGGGGAGCCTGCTTCCTCCTCTCTCTCTGCCTGTCTCTCTGCTTACTTGTGATCTCTGTCAGATAAATAAATAAAATCTTTAAAAAAAAAAAAAACCTCCTTTTCGTAAGAAGCTGCAGAGGATCAAGGGAAAAAACATAGCGAACCCTATGCCTAGGCCGTGAACTTGAACTCAGTAATACCAGCTCTCTGATGGACTTGGGAACACGTTTTCCTCCTATTATCCCAATCTTCTTTATTACTGCATTACCCTAAAACTTAATAAATAAAATAAATATGCTTTAAGTTCAAAACTCAAGATAGGTGCTGTGCATTTGGTTTTTTTCCCAATGTTGTTACACTCACTAAAGCAATTAGGGACAGGAGGAAATGTATTTAAATGTATTTAGAAAATAAATAACTGTATTAGCTGACCTTCAAGTGCTCAGATCGTTCTAGTGTTGTTGCCGGTGTAGCATCATTTCACAGGAGGCGCGTCTCCAGATGGATGTAGTGACGGCTACTTGTTACAGTGGTGGTTTCACCAGGCGCCGGGCTCCGTTTTCGAGCTTGGCCTCGCTTGGTCCTCTCCGCCACTGCGGTTATCGCTTAGCCTTTTATAAAGGGGGAAATGAACGAAGAAAGTGTTTAGGCAACTTTCCTTCTGTGACTGAAGTACTCGTTGGCAGTGCCAGAAGCCATGCCCAAATCTGTCCGTTCCAAACCACCGCAGGGTGGACATCCCCCTCCTGCTTCAGCATGTTACCCTGTATCCGAACTGAGCTAATGCAGTTTCTCGGCCGCTTGCTCGCCAGCATCTGTCCTTGGGCCAGTGACCCACCCTCCTTGAGGGGAAATTTCCTGACCTGTAAACTAGTGATTATGGTGCCCTCCCAGCACCTTGGGGGAAGAGGTGGGTACTTACGCGGATTGCCCATGTCCTCCACCCACGTCACTGGGAACACACGTGCAGGTTGGACAAGTTGAGCTGATACCTCATCGCAGGGAGAGGTGTGACACCACAGGGTGTTCTGGGGAATTTCAGTAAGAGTGTGAGGAAGGATGTGTTACGGGATGTGGGCTTTGGGTGGGTAAGGTTCTGTGGGAGCTGGAGTTGGCTCTCGATCATCACGGCCCATTCTATGATCGGACAATAAGTAAATGGTAAATCTGACCCACAGGGAGGGACAGACCAGGGTAAGACCGGAGCTATCCTGGGTAAAGCAGGAGCCGCTGTTCATATTACCAGGGATGGGGCGGTGGGGAGGGAGGCTGTGGATGGTTGGTGCTTGGCACAATGACCCTGTTTGTCGTCTGTGCTTAGACAGAATGATGAAATGGACTTGTTTCGTGTCCCTCCGTGATGGGCACAGAGCAAGCCCATCTGATGCGGACGTTCTGTGTCACAGGTTATATCCATAGGGGGATGCTGCGGCCTCCCTGTGAGCTCCAGGCCAGCTTCTCAGAGCACCAGGGCCTAGTGGAGAGGCAGGGCTCTTCCTAGGAGCAAGATTGCTTCACTGTTGCCCACAGACTCAAGGGGACAACTCAGACCAAAGGTGATGGGGCCACTGCAAAGCTTTTTGCTTTGAGAAAGCTCAAAGGAAACCATTAAGGCAGTGCTGGCTTGTCTGGTTGGCATTGAAACTAGAAAGTGCCTCCTTTCACCTTCTGTTATCGTTAGGAAATGGTATAGGGTTTGCATGCCAAATTTGGGGTGCAGGGGAATATTAACTGCTCCCAGAAGCCAGGTCCTGCTCTGGGGAGCTCAGGAGAGCCCAGGCGATGAGCTTACCCTGTCCTGCCTCCCCGTGTCTTTGCCCAGGTCGGACTCATCTCCGGCACAGTCTTCGTGGTTCTCGGACTGACTGTCCTGGCGGTGGGCTTTCTGGTGCCCCCCAAAATCGAAGCGTTTGGCGAAGCCGACTTCGTGGTGGTGGACGCGCAGGCCATGCAATTTAACGGGGCCCTCGACGCGTGCAAGCTGGCCGGAGCCGTTCTCTTCTGCCTCGGGGGCATGTCCATGGCAGGGTGCCTGCTGACGTCCGTGTTTGTGAAAAGCTACTCCAAAGAGGAAAAGCTTCTTCAGCAGAAGTTTAAAGAGCGCATCGCCGACATCAAGGTCCACAGCCAGCCCGTTACAAAAGCCCCGGGCCCGGGGGAAACAAAGATTCCCGTCACTCTGTCTAGGGTGCAGAATGTCCAGCCTGTTTCGGCAACCTGAGACACCTCCCACCCCAGTCCCCCCTCTCTGATCACATGCAGTGTTAACAAGGAGCAGGGCCAGGTTTGGAGAGGACAGGGCTTGGGCTTTGGCTGGCCCCAGCCCGGGGCTCGTCTGCGGGCAGAGCGGTGCGGGAGCTCACATCGGCTGGGCTTGGGGTCTTGGGAGGAGGTGACGTCCCTGGAGACCTGTGCGTAGGCACCACGCTGCTTCAGGGGGGCTCGTGCCCCCATGGGGCACCCTCGGGAGCTCCCCTCTCAAATATCGTGACTGTCATTCCCCCGCGTTCCTGGAGAGCGCCCAGCAGTTTAGACCAGGTGACCAGTGGCTAACGTGGTGTGTTTTATTTTCTAATGTCGGTTTCCTGATTTTTCTTGTGTGGTGCTGTGTCTGTTCCTGTCTCACTACGTGTAAGGTATTGTCATGTGTGTTCATAGAAAAGTCGAGTTCCTTGATATTGACCCAAACGTTCGTCTTCTAACTTTCTCTTCACATGAGGTTGCTGAGAATGGGTACAAATTTATCGGAGTTCTCCACCAATTTTTTTTTTTTTTTTTTTTTTTTGGTTTGGTTCTCTCCAGTGTTTTCACTTGAAAAGCTAACATTGCCAACTTTAGAAACTTGGGGAAGAAATGAACTTTAGGAGTTTCTATGCAGCCTCCCAGAGCCGGGGAATGAGAAGCTACTACCCTCTAGCTGTGTGACCTTGGGGGTTTGTTTAACCTGCCCCGGCCTCAGTGTCCCCATCGATGCGACAGAGATCCTGGACTATGGTGTCTGAGATTCCTCCTTTGCCGCATGTCATCGTGTCTCCCGGGGGCCGTGCCTGCGATGTCCCTGGGGCTCTCACCTCGGTGGGACTGTTTGAGATCTGGACTCCCAGAAAAATCTCCGAATCAGCAGCTACTCACGTTTCAATATCCAGCCCCAGCAGTTTATACAGTGCTGTCGTGTTTTTATAAAGACTAAAAGTAAGCCATCCTCAAATAAGAAACCCGTAAGTAGATACTAACCTTAAAAAGGGTCTTCTTCCTCAAATAAGAGGTTTGATTCTCCAGCAAGATGCTCATCTCACCCCTACGCACTTTTACTTAATCTGTGGACTTAAACTGGACTGAGGAGAACATGACCTTGGTCTTCTCTCAGAAATCGTGCCACCTTCGAGTCCTGTCTCTCCTCTCTTTCCTCCCTCACTGGATAAATAAAATATGTGCCCAAACAGAACTTAAGTTGCCATGTCATTCCTTCTCTGCGACTGTTTTCTCTTCAAGGAACGAGTCTCCATCCTGAGGCTGGGCGGGCGAGCTCTCGGGTTTCCCTGGCGAAATGGAAGAACAGAGCAAGCAATTAGCCCTTCTGGTGTGCACCGTTACGCACGGCCCAGCGGGGACCACGGGGCCCATCAGAAACCTCAACAGGGATCAGGGGCCAGGTAGGGGAGAAATCATTCCAGCTTCCTCAGGTTCTCACCTTGCTGTGGATGTAGCATTTTATTTTATTTTATTTTATTTTATTTTATTTTATTTTATTTTATTTATTTTTGACATAGCATTTTAATTGTACCCTTTGAAGCCTTGCGTTAAGCATCTGTTGAAGGCAACATCACTGGAAGCTTCCCGTCCTTGCCTCGGCGTTGGGTACCAAGGAGTCTTGGAGGATGGGACTTGACTTTTAAAAGCCCCCAGAATGAAAATTAAGGGCAGCGGGGCTTGGGAACCTTTAGGTACAGGCATGATTGCAGCTGTAAAAGAGCAGCTCTGTTCCCCCAAAGACCTAAAGGGAACCAAACCAGAGAGAAGCTGAGTCTGAAAAAGCAATTCAGCATGTCCCATCTGTCCCGTCCTGCCCAGGCTTTGTGAGAGCAGGAACTGGTGAGGGCCCTCCCGGTGCCCTTGGCAGGGACTATAGGAAAGCAGAGGAGGAGGAGGACACGCGCTTTGATCTTTGGAGAGGGTGGACCACGTGTACTCACAGGGAAGAGCCCATGAGGACTTTGTAAAGCCGGAGTGGGCAGACAGCGGTGGTAATGGCAGCAGAACGGCCCTAGAGCCTTGGGCTCATTCTGCCTGTTTCGGGGGTGAGGGGGGTGAGGGGGAAGTGGAGCCATTCCCTCCTCCCTGCTACTGAAATTCCCACAGGTGCGCCAGGCAGTCTGTGATCACAATGCCACTGGAGAAACACGATGTGTTAAGGCCTGGAGATCACACAGGGATAGCGTGGAGTGGGTCCCAGCCCTAGATGACACGGGCCCAGCCACATCATCACGGGTCCTGCAAGTGCTTGGAGCAGCAGTGAGGGACCCCTGCTGCCTCCCGGGACAAGCCCCTGCGTCTTCGGCTTAGGAAGCTTACCCTGAGATCTTTCCAAAATCTGCCTTTCTAAACCTTCCATTGGACCAAATCGGTCCACATTGGACCAAATCCTACCATTCAGAGTTACCTGCAAGCTAACCCTGCTTATACTTACCTCCCCTCTCCCGGTCCTCCTGGCTGGGAAGATTTCCATGTGACCATTTCCTGTCCCCTCCTGCATTGTCTTCTTCAGGGAGACACATCTGTGTGCTCTTACTATCCCTACTTCAGCTGTGCCACCTACGAAACGGGGTCCCTACCCGTTTTCAAATGTGTATCAGATTTAGAACCCCCGTGTGTGCACAGCACCTCAAGCCCGAAAACTGAAGGCACGGCCTCCTGGGGTCTGAGCTGGCTCCTTCCCAGACTTATTCTGATGCTCACTCCAGAGCCCTGCAGCCCGCCCACACATCATTGCTTTTCTCCTTCAGCGAGTCTTCTCTCATGGGGCTTATCCTCCCTGCTGTAACCACCTGCCCCTGCACTGGTGATTGGACCCGTCATTCAAGGCCCAATCAGGAAATAACAGCAATAATCACGGGACCTAATATATACTGAGGGGAAATCAGCCTCATCCTGGACACAGCCAGCATTGTGTACGAACACTTATCTGTCTCTGTTATAACTGGTTTACACACCTGTTTCTTCCATTAGCAGCTGGTGTTAGCTGTTTGGGTGGCAGCGACCACATCTTAATGAGGGGGAACCCTCAAAAGTGCATATGGAAAAGCTGTGTGCTGCTATGACATGGGCACTTAAAACAACTATTGCGGATTTACTTAGAGCCAGGCATGAGAGAAGCAAAGAGATAATTGGTAGAGGCACTAAAATTTCTGACCTAACGAGAGAGAAAGAGAGAGAGAGAGAGAGAGTGTGTGTGTGTGTGTGTGTGTGTGTATGTGTGTATACAGGGGATCTCGTGGACAGAACTAAGACCAGAGTATGGATACGGGTGCCTCAAAGCAAAGCTCTCCTCAACCCAACGCTTTGGACTGGGGGAGCCCAGTCTAGTGGCTGGCTAGCCATTACAATCTCTAAAACCAGAATCCTCCCTCCAAGGAGCCCTGCTCACTGACACAGAACTCACAGGCATACTGCTCATTCCTGGGAGAATCGGTTGGAAGACCCGGAACGGCCCGGGCAAGAGCAGAGTCATTGTCTCCAACGCTCCTAAACCAACCACGTGTTTCTTCATCCTTGAACATGGAAGTATGGCCAGAATGATCAGACACGTGAGGGCAGCACCTTGAAAGCAGAAACACAGAGAGAATAACAGATTCCACGGGAAGCATGAGTGTTTCAGGAATCACAGGAGAACTCTAAAAAAATCGAATTAGTCTTCAGGAAGAAATGGCACCCATAAGACAAAAATAGGATGCCATGAAAGAGGAACATCAAATGGTTTTAAAATAATAAATTGCTACATGAATAATTTGAAAACCCTTCCAGAAAAGTAAAATCCCCTCTCGTAAAAATTTGAAAAGGAGATTAAAAAATAAAAGACCCAGAGAGTCCATCAAAGATAAAAAGGTAACAGGAGAAAAGAAGAGAAAAATTATCAATAAAATAACAGAAGGAAACTACAGAATATAGAATATAGAATACAGAATATAGAAATTGCCAGATTGGATGTGTTTGCTGGATATTCAACACCATGAATGGTTAAATAAAAGAGACACATTTTTGTGAAATTTCAGGACAAAAAAGAAAAAAATCATCCAAGAAGCTTCCAGAGAGAACAGACATCTATAAAATAATAAAAATCACAGTGGGCAGAGAAAAGGGCTGTGACTTCAGGCAATAGATGAGAACATTATTTTTGACCTACAGAAACAGACACTGATTCTTATCAAGGAGAAAAGAGGCAAGCAGTAGAAACCCCCCGAAAACATTTAGAGATGGGGCTCCTGGCTGGCTCAGTTGCTGGAGCATGGAACTCTTGACTTTGGGGTTGTGATTTCAAGCCCCATGTTGGGCCTAGAGCTTTTTTTTCAATTGTGTTACGTTAGTCCCCATATAGTACATCATTAGTTTTTGATGTCGTGTGCCGTGATTCACTGTTAGCATATAACACCCAGTGCTCCATGCAATCCGTGCCCTCCTTAATACCCACCACCAGACTCACCCATCCCCCCAACCCCCTCCCCTCTAAAACCCTGTTTGTGTCCCAGAGTCCACAGTCTCTCGTGGTTCATCTCCCACTCTGATTTCTCCCCCTTCATTTTTTGCCTTCTCCTAATGTCCTCCATGTTATTACTTATGCTCTACAAATGAGTGAAACCATTTGATAATTGACTTTCCCTGTTTGACTTATTTCACTCAGCATAATCTCCTCCAGTCCCGTCCATGTTGATGTAAAAGTTGGGTCTTCATCCTTTCTGATGGCTGAGTAATATTCCGTTGTGTATATGGACCACATCTTCTTTTAAATAAATAAAAGTTTTTTTAGGGAAAAAAAGAAGGAAAATTTTAAAATAAAGTGCACACTGAAATCATAGTCCCAATTATTAAGCATGACTCTGGAATCATGGGGAAGAACTAATAGGAGTCTGAGACAAGAGAAGCCGTTGGAAACCCAACCTGCCTTCCCGCTGGGCCCCATCTATTGCTGGCAGGACAGGAGCTGGGACAGGAGCCTGGGAAGACCAAACCCTGCCCTCAAGGGTCCTGCCAGGACATACACTTACAAAGCCAAAATAGTGCAAACCAATTACTTGTTTCCAACCTCCAGCATCACACGGTAGACAAACAAAATGCCTAAAATATGATTATGAAACAGACTGCAAGTGAGATCAGTGTGATGCTGTGGCTGTACAGGGAGAGCCAGCAAGATGTGGAAAGCAGAAGGGAAGGGGGAAGGAGAGAGAAGGGTAGGAAAACTGATATCATCATCTGCTCTAGTGAGAAATTAAGTATCTAAATGTGGGGGAAAGAAGAAATGCATGTAAAATTAAGAACTTAATAAAAAAAAGAAAAATTTTAAAAACATACTCTCAAAAAAATTATAATAATTAATTTAATTTAATTTAAAAGGCTCAGTGGGTTAAGCCTCTGACTCTTGATTTCGAGTCATGATCTCAGGGTCGTGAGATCGAGCCCCACATCGGGCTCCAGGTGTGAAGTCTGCTTAGGGTTCTCTCCCCTGCCTTCCCCTACCCCCGCCTCTGTGCTTGTTTGTTCTCTCAATCAATCAATCAATCA